ATACTATAAATAGAGAGAGCTCTTTAAGGTTTGGTAAGATCATTTTTTTTCTTTGTAATTTCAATAATTCTTATACAATTTCTTTTCAACATTGATATTTTTTTCTCTTCTAGTTTCTATTACTCTAATTAGGAAAATTTTGATAAATCATAAGAGAAAACGGTTTATATGAAATTATTATTAAAAATTATATGTATACATTTACGATGAAATTTCTATTGTCCATTTTAATTTATTTATTTTATTATTTTTAATATCGTCTAAGAAAGTTTATTAATTCAAAAATAAATTAAAATCAATGATTTTTAAAATAAATTAAATCCATGATTTTTAATATATAATTTCCTTTCTTTTAAATTTTATTTATAAAGACATATAATTTTTTATATTCTAATGTTTTGAATTTGAAATAGATGTTCTTTAATTTAAATAATTTTCAACAAAATTAACAAATATAAAATTAAAAATAATTTAAATTAGAAATTTTTTCTTAATTAAATTTTATATTTTAAAGTGTTATCATAATATCTCTAAAATTATAAATAAAGATATTTACTGTGCATAGCACATGCATGTTGCTAGTTAAATATAAAACCATACCAATATTCATATTAACCTGCGAAAGGAAAAGAAGGAAGGAGATGCATTAAACTAAACATTACTCTCTCCGTCCCAAAAAAATACTATATTTTCTATTTTCACATAGATTAAGAAATATCAATTATTATAGTTAAAGTATAATTTTATTCATATAACTTTTCTATTATGTACGTCTTAAATAATACATGACCAATTATTATATTGAAAAAAGAAGTAAGAATTAATAAGGATTATAGAAAATAAGATAAAATCTAATAAGAGTATAGTAGATAATTTAAAAATTGATTATAATGCAAAAAAAGAAAATGGACTATATTTTGAAACAAATAAAAAAGGAAAGATGGACTTTTTTTTTTTTTTTTTTTTTTACGAGTAGTACAAAACTATAAACAATACCTCCATTATGATTTGTGGTAAAGTAATAAATTGCAATAAAGAACATATCAACTAGCCCACCAAAAATTCACAATCTTGAAGTTCAAATGAAAAATGCATTCTTCAATGCTTCCATTGAATTGATTCTTCTACTTCTTTCACCAAAATGACTTCCATTTGTAATTCTGTAAATGCCATTTAAGTTTTCAAGACTGTGCATTGCTTTAAATTTTCAATATGTACAAAATTATTGGTTCCTTCACTTGTAGTATTTAAATCATTTGTTTTCTCTCTTATGATGATGTTCACAACACAAAGAATTTAATAAATAAAAAAAAAAATCTAATGTTTCTCTCTTTCTTTCTTTATGATTCTAATTAATTAAAATAAAATACCTTTTTAGTCCTTTATTCTTTGCCGGATCAAAATATTTTTTTTAAGGATTTGAGTGTAGAAATTTCCTGCAAAAGATGTTTTTTTTTTTTTTTTTTAAAAACTTTTTTCAAGAGAGTATGTGTTTCCGCTGCTTACTTTTAACTTTTGTCTTAAATTGTACTCCCTCCATTTTATTAATTAAATTTGACATTTTTTTATTTTTCATAAAAATTAAAAAAAATAATTGAATCACATCACTTCTAGAATAAAATTGAAATAATATTGTTTTAATTTTCTAAAAGTGTCATCTTAATGAATAAAAAATAAAAAAAACTATCAAATTTAATCGAATTGATGGAGATTTTTAAATTCATAAGTCAATTTAAAAATAAGTAGTTAATTGTTTGATAAAACTATTTAAAAGTTTGTTTAAGTATTTAGTTAATAAGTACTTAGCAATAATTTAATGTATTGAAATTACTAAAACAAATGTTTTAAAAAAGAGGACAACGCAGACATTTTTAAAATGTACAATGATACTATAGTATTTTATTTAATTAAAATATACTTTCAAAATAAATAAATACGAAGTCATTTACTTATAATTTTTAATATAATTTTAGGCAATTCTTTTGGAAAGTGTAATCTTCTCGGACCGTAAAACGTAAAAATTTTTTGCTTTTTTAGAGAATTGAGCTTCTCAGATATCGAACTTTGTATTATTACCGTTATGGGGATTAAAGTTGCTTTCCAGCATAACCAACACCTCGTTGATTATTTTAAGTACTTTTTATAATTTATACTTACGAATTTTACTTGAAACGATTTTATTGGTGAACAAAAAAAAATTGTAAATAGTATCATTTAAATTCAATGCGCACAAAATTAAAGCTGAGAAAAGGTCTCAAGTTGAATTTTAAGGCTTAAATTCGAGAAAAATACAAAAAAGAATTACTATTGAGCTAGTGATGACAAAATGTACATAAAAATACAATTAAGTAATGTCTTAAATTCAACCTTGAAACATTTTGTGAGTACAATGTTTAGCCAAACATATGATTTTTTGGTACATTTATATAGTAGTATATAATATAAGCCAACACATGAAGGATTTTAAATCTAGAAGAGACTCCAAAATGCATGTTTCATGTGTTTGAGATAAGAAATGGGAGAGGTTAATTGATTGGATCTTGTTTTTTTTATTGGTAATCTTTGCTAATTCATATGATTACCTCTCTTTCATCGTTGCCTTTGCGAATATTTTTATTGCCTAGATTCAAGGATTTTGGATGATTTGGATTAGTGCGAAATTAATGGATTGAAAAATTACTATTTCATCCCTATATTTTGATTAAATTAATGACTTCGTCCATGCATTTGGGTCAAATTATCATAATATTCCTAACATTTGATTCCGTCTAATGTTTTAGTCCTTCCATCTAGACACTTGAAGAATGTCAAACCGTAAAAATACACCTAAACAACTTATTGATCAAATGATTGCTACGAACCAGTTTCATGAATAAAATACTTTTGCCATAAAACTCAAAAAATTTGAAATCCTAAATTCAGTGGTTTGAAATTGAAAATGGCTCGTATACACTTAGAATTTAAACTTGTTTGATTAGAAATTGAAAGACGTGACACTTTGTTTTTTTAGGATTAAAGAGATAATAATTGGAGCAAATAAACGTGGACATTGATTTGTTGACTTTTTTTTGTTTGTGTAAAATGTCGGTATCCAGATTATATTATCAGGACCGTCTAGTTCGGCTTAGAGTTAAGTCACAATTAAGGCTCTTCGCCCCTCCCTGTATGTGTGTTTAGTGGAGAGCAAATCTGAGAACTCTTCATACATGCCTAGCTTGCGTTGCCAACTGAGTCATAACCCGTAAGTTAATTTGTTGAATTTTTAACAAAACTTATATGGTAGTAAGGAAAATTCCTTAATAGGAATTTACAATCATCAATTAAATAACCAAATAAGAATGCTCAAAACATTCCAAAATTTTACCAACAAACAAAGAATAACTAAAAATCAACATTTAACAAACCTCTTTGTTATGCCTATCATCATCAATTATTTTTCCACTTCAAGTAAAAACAGCACATGGATTTTATATTTCATGGGGCCAAATAAAATAACAATCATTTACCATCTGAAAATAAGCCCAATTTGAAGCCTAAACCCAAAAATTCATAAAATGAATTCAATATTAGTATATAAAAAAAAATTTATTGCAGAATTAAAAATAAAGGATGCTTTTGATATAATTGACTAACAAATAAGATACTAATTTTATTGGTTAACGAATTTTAATTATATTAAATACTAAAAAAATCTCTTATTATTTCAAGACTAATATAACATTTTGAGGAACTAAGGTGTTTTAAAATTTGTCAATCAAGTGTGGCCTAGTTTGATTGAGATCTCTCCACCACAAGAGTTATTACCAATTTGGTGAATGTTATTTAAAGGGGAGAGTTGTCCCCTGCTATGCATCCCACAATGTTATTCTAGTCCGGTCCATTGGGGCTCTCATGTATAAAATAAAAAATGTTCTAAAATTTATTAATTTAAGATCCAAAATGCTCAAATAATGGCATTTTAATTACTCAAAGCATTAAAAGTTTAATAAACTCACATCTATTTTTTTTAATAGATCTATTTTTTCTTTGATTTTTTTTTTTTGTTAATTGTTGCTTTGTCTTTATATTTGAAGTTCTTTTGTCTCTTCTTCTGTGAGGGTTTAGTTCCTTCTTTATGAAGGTTTATTCTTAAAAGGTATGATATTTGATTTTATTTTGTTGGAGAATTTAGATCTTGTCTTATTGATGTGTATCTTTGATCAATAGAGTCTAGTAATGTGACATGTTCCTCCATTAATGCTATTAACGTATAGTAGCTTGAACTCATCCGTGTACGTCATACGCAATAAGTTTTTGGAAAAGCAATCCAAGCATAAAAGATTCGGAGAAATTATTTTGTCGTCCAAATCAATTAAAATACCAGTTGCTACTATGAAAATTTATATCGGTTAAGGTTATCTTCGAGCGAAAAAATCCAATATTGTTTCTTTTAGTTTTAGTTTTATTCAAAAGAAGATAAATAATTATTTTATTGTTGAAGTATCAATGAACTTTCTATTAATTATGATAATAAATTCTATGTCTGGTCTAATTGAGTATTTATAATACTTGATTTCATTATTAATGAATTAAATTTCTCAAAAAAAAAAAAAAAAAAAAATTTATTATATTGAATTTCATTTATAAATGAATTAAATTTCTCAAAAAAAAAAAAAAAAAAAAAAAAAAAAAAAAACTCAAAGCAGTGATTTTTTAGAAAAGAAATTCAACTTCCAAGGTATCATAATTCAACCAGGATTCGATATTCTAATCCTATTTGAATTCTGCCATATGTATAAAGGAAAGAAGCTAAGCAATCAACGAAGCATCCGTTCTTTTCTTCTGCTCAAAATAAGAATTATCCACGTCAAAGCATTTGCGTTTTACTCCATCATCGCAACTTCCCATTGAAATTATTGAAGAGATACTCTTCAAATCACCTGTTAGGTCTTTGTTGCGATTAAAATCTGTATCCAAACAATGGTAATCTCTGATTTCAGATCATCGTTTCATTCGATTAATCCTCAATCAAAACAGCTACAAACTTCTCCTTCAACCGGAAAAGTTACTTTCTTTTTGGTGAAGTTACTTTCTTGTCGCAAGATAGTAATGTTCTTGCTCCTGAAGAAATTGGTGAAGTCACAGCAGAAGAAGAATTAAGAGTAAAACTAAAATCAAAATCGAATTTGGGGGTCAGTGTCCAAGGTTCTTGCGATGGCTTGGTTTTACTTGCGTTTTCATCTGGTTCTTGTGAGAAAACTAGCATTTCAATTCTTTGGAATCCGTCTACCAGAGAAACTAGAGTGATTACAAACCCTCCTCTTGATCCTGATGGGACCAAATGGAAACATGGGTTCGGGTATGATTCCTCCATTGATGATTACAAACTGCTGAGAATTTTTCTCCCTGCAAATGAAAAAGGAGAAGGACTCATCTTCAGAATATTTGCACTTAGAACTAATTCTTGGAAAACAATTGATCACCAAGACTATTATCAGTTGAAAGGTAATGTTGGGTTACCTAACAGGCCAATCCTATTCCTGAATGGAGCACTACACTTTCTAGTTAAGCATAAACCGGCAGGTTCAAGTGCAATAATCTCTTATGATTTATCAGGCAACAAGTTCCAAGAAACATTGTTGCCTGAGTCAGATAAGTGTATATTCAGCGGAATTAAATGAAATTGATGGAAGTATATGTTTGATTGAACCCAGAAATTCAAGTAGAACCACTATAATTCGGGTAATCAAGGACAAGGAATATGAGTCTATAAAGATGATAAAGCTGAAGTATCCTTTATACATCTCACCAATTCGTTTATTCATCAATGGTAAACTTGTCTGGAAAAAGTTTTCACAAAGTAAGAAGCTTTATATTTCCGATTTGGAAGAACGTTCATGCAAGGAAGTAGCTTTGGCTGGTAGCTCTGTAATGTACTGTGGTAGAACCGCTTATGTGTAGAGCCTGATATCTCCCTATTATTATTTACACCCAAATTGATTTGATTTCGTCAAGGTTTTTTAGAAGGCAATAGGGTTGCTGGTTTTTTTAGCTAGAAGGGATTACATGTTTTAGAGAGGCCATTTTTCTTCTGTTCAAAGCTTTAGTGAAGCTGATGGGATTGAATACTATATGCTCTTGACAAATTTTTTATAGTTGCTTTAAACCCTGCAGTTAAAAAAATATAAAAATAATTATTTTTATAATACTAATATATTAATTATTTCATTTCGAACTATTTACAAATTTTTCAATCAAGCTTAAATTTATGTTTGAGTTCTTTTGAATGAATTTCGATTTTCAACTTTTACGAAAATCCAAAATTCGCACTTACGTTATTTTCATGAATATCGTGTTTATTTTAATGAAAATTTTGAATTCGCCCTGCCTAGATGAAAATTTTCTTTTCAAATCAAATATGAGATGAAAAATAAGGAGGGAAAATAAATAATAATAATATTTTTTTATTAACTCGGGCGTGAATTATAAAACATAATTACATACATTTAAGTCAATCTTCATATATATTTAAGTAACAGTAATGTGACATGACATGATTGAGGTAAAATTTCAATTATAAACAGGCAATTGCACAGCAGCCTTGAAGGCACACAGTAGTGTTAGCCAATGCATAATTCAAATGCTACTATTGACATATTGTCTGCTTCTGCTAATGGCCCATTTCTTGTATGGGTGGAAGATCTGCCATCCTTCTCTGTTTAGTTTATGTTCTTTTGCAGATACTATACATTAAAAAAAAAAAAAAAACCTTTAATTTAGATAAAAAAAAATTTTGTAGGGCCTAAACTTTAACATCAATCAATCCTTGTCAGCAGAAATTTCGCTTTTTATAATAATTTCATAAATTTTCAAACTCAGGAAAATAATTTTAAAATTTTTAACTTTTATATATGCAAGATATAAATTTAATATTTAGTTAACACAACATTTGGAATAATAGTTTTTTATATTTTTTTTAATTATAAATATTATAAATTTAGGTGTTCGATGAATCAATTAACGTATTTAATAGGTGCAATTTTATAAATTAAAGTATTCAATGAGTTAAATTAAAAGTTAAAGATACTATAAAATTTTTCATGAAAACTATAAGGATGAATTTATTGCACATGACCAATCTACATATGCTCCGACTTTGTTTAAATCAATTTGATTGACTTTTTTTTTAATATAAAATTAGTTATAACTTTAAAGGGACTCTATATACAGGAGTCAAACTCGAAATCTTTTAATTAAGGGAAAAGGGATTTCTATCATTTCATATTACTCCAGGTTCTATTTTTCATCGTTAATGACTTGGATTTGATGGTTACCCTCATTTATTTTAACAGTTAAACCGAAATAAAAGTAAAAAAAAAAAAAAAAAATTCAACATTGACAAATAAAAGTTCAAAGACTCGATGAATAAATCTCAATAAATTTAGGGACTTAAAAATATGTTTTGGCTTAGTCTATCAATACATGATTAGTGATGTATGTTAAACCCAATTAAAGTGGCAGATTCCAAGTATTAATCAAATCAACACTTTGTCTTCCACTTTCATATTGATACCAACCAGGCTGGAGGGCATGTCTTCCTATAAATTATGGGGTAGTAGGCAGAAAAATGGCATTTTCCCCACATCTAAAGTCATGTTTAAAATGAAATTCAACTTTTAAGATCATTAAGGTCAAGGAATCTTAAATTGGAAGGCTTTACACAAAATGGAGGAACCTAACCTAGCATATAGTCAAAAGTGTCTTGAGGATGGATGCCATGGTTTATCTATACTGTAATTATTAATAGTTGGATGGAGAATAAGGTGAGACGCTTTTTTCTAATTATTTTTTATTCGTTCGATAACTGAAAAATAATTCGATGAACTATATAATAAGGGAAAATAATGACTCAAACATGAGATTTACCGCTCTTTATATATAAAAAAAAAAAAAACCCATTAGCCCATCAATAAATGTATTATTTTATTTAAATTATAAAAAAATTTAAAAACAAATATGAATTAAATATTTTTACAACATTATTAATTTTATTATTATTTATTAATTTAACCCATTAACAGGTCCTGGCTTGGGTCTAGGCAAATTGATGCCCTTAAAATAGAGAAGCAAACCGAACCAGTTCCAAACAAATTTGAACCCTTCCGCTTCCTCCATTTGTTCCTTCCCTCTAAATTATATGTAAAATAAGAGCAAGAGGAAAGTTAAGAATGTGAAAGAATGGAAGAAGGAAATGGAGAATCAAAGATTAGAAGATGGGAACCAAATTCATTCCTTCACAAACCACTCCAAGAAAAGGAGTTTTAGCAAACAAATAGAATACAAAGGAGAGCGAGAGTAAACAAAAGCCTGTTTCTTTAGCTTTGAGAAACTTGGCCACATCCCAACCACTTACATTGGAGAATCTTTTAGTAAAAAAAAAAAAAAAAGAGTCAAAACTTCCAACTAAAGAGGTCACATCACTAACCCAAGCCTAACAGTAAAAAAAGGGTATACAAGAGAGAGAGAGAGAGAGAGAGAGAGGCATTACTAGTTTGAATGATACACAGGGAGAGAGAGAGAGATTAATATATGTGAGAAGTGAAAATGGGTTTTTTCTTCTTCTTCTTCTTCTTCATGGGCAATTGGAGTTTTTACCAGGGCCTCCATAATAAAAGTAATGACCCCAATCTCCATTACTACCAGTTTGAACATCATAGCAATTAGATTGTTCAGTGAAGGTTCCAATTCCTTTTGGTGCCTTTAGATTATTGGAATCATCAACTACTTGAATATTCCTAAAATAACTTGCTTTCCCAAACCCTTCTTCAGGAAAATGTCCACTTCCCATCTGAGTTGAGGTGTGCTGACCATCTGGTTCTGAATTCACTACCTCACCTCCCCATTCAATCATGGAAGCGCTGTCTGCTAAGTATGAGAACAGAAAAGAAGGCCAATATCCCAACACATAGTCATTGCCAAATTGCATCCACCAATGTCCTTCTTTAGGATCCTACAAGAATTGCCAAACATGAAACAAAGAAATTAAGGTACATTAACAAGTAACAGTACTTGGATGCAAAACTAGACAAAGCTCCATTATTGAGCAAGACAGTACAAAAAACTGTAACTACAGTTATATTCTAATTTTTCTGTTTCTTTTTTTTTTTTTTTTTTTTTTTCACAGGATAGGATTCCCAGTTCACTGATTTTAACATTTTCTGGTTTTAACCAAAGTTTGCAAGTGTCTAAAGATGATCTTAAAGCATTCTCTTAGCATATGAACCACACACAAATGATATTTCTTTGACACAGAATGAGAGTTACATTTTAGCTGATACGGCCAAGAATGCAATTCCTTCCTTTATCATGTAAAGTTTTTTTTTTTTTTTTTTTTTTTTTCACAGGATAGGATTCCCAGTTCACTGATTTTACATTTTCTGTTTTAACCAGTTTTGCAAGTGTCTAAAGATGATCTTAAAGATTCTTCTTAGCATATGAACCACACACAATGATATTTCTTGACACAGCATGAGAGTTACATTTAGCTGATACGGCCAAGAATGCAATTTTCTTTATCATGTAAAGATTTCAAGGTCTAATGAAAAGGACAAAAACCCATCAAAGTTCACATACAACTTTAACAGTATCAGCTATCAGCTAGCTCTATTTTTCCATTTGGCTGCTACTGAAATTTTTTTACCATTGAATGTGATGTGAAGTGAAGATCTTTGGCATTTACCTTCCAGACAAGAATACTAATATCATATTGGGAATTGCGGAAAGCAGAGACAGGAGAGATGCTTGCTCCCATGGCTATCTCACTATTAATCTGAATAAAGCCTGAACATAGAAGATTATAGCAACCTGTGGCTTGATAAGCATCACTCTGTAATATTTTCAAAAAACAAATGTTTTAAAAAATCCATTAACAAAAAGAAAATCATTAGTGTTGTTGAAGCGATTGTATGTAAAAAAGTTGAAAGCTTACAGTCCAATAGGTGAAAAGCCTTGTGTTGTTGTCACCATATAAATCTGGACTGACCTGTTTCATCATACAGAAAGCATTAAAAATAAGGAATATGGCATAAAAAATGATATTGATGTTATTAATTACTTCAATTATTAGTTCAATTAAAGAATTAAATTAACTAATAGTACCTGCCAGCCAGCTTCAATGCTATTGAGATCTTCACCAAAGGAACCTCCTAATATCCATAGCTGAGATAAACTGAACTCATTAGATTGTTGTATCTTTGGTTCCCATACATTAATGGTTGCTTTTGCTCCATAGTACTTGTCACCTTCCACATAAGCTATAGCATGCTAATCATCACAGGAAAAGGCCACAAGAAAGAAATAAAGATTAAGAACAATTTGATAATAATAAAATCAAGAAAGCAAATTGAGAAAAAAAAAAAGCTACTTTATTATGCCTTTAAACAAACAAAAAAAAAAAATACTAAGAAAATAAAGAAGCAGAAGAATAAAAGCATAGAACTTTACTTGGTGGCCACTTTCATTGATGAGATCAGGATCTGCAGACCTAGGCTGAGGGATGCTTCTGCGTTTCTTCTTACCATATCTTTTAACTGAGCTTGCTCTTAAAACATCATCTTCCTTTGTCCTTCTAATGGGTATGGTACCTTCAGGGCATTTACCATTTATGTGCCACAACTGAGTGATTGGGTTTATTCTTTCTTTTGATTCCACTTTGTTATCATCAAAAAGCCCTTCTGGATGGTAACTAGGCCTCATCTAAAAAAAAAACCGAAAATACATGAAATCAGTAACAGCAAAGAAAATCACTAAAATGGCTAAAGTAGAAATATACAGGAGAAGGAGATGGACCTGAATCTTGTGGTCTTTAAGGAAAGGATGATCAAAAGCTGGTTGATGAGCCATGTGAACACAGTCTATGATATCCCCATCTGGGCTCTGCATAGCCATGAAAAAGAATAAGATATCCAGAATTATAACTCAGAAATTTTTCACTCAAATAAATCATGAACTTAATGAGTGATCTTGAGGTCTTCAAACATGTACAGACAAAAAATATCAGATTTAGAAAAAAAAAAAAGGATGAAATAAATAACGGAAGCTGACTACCCATTAGCATTTAAGTTCTGTTTGGTTGTATTGAAAACAAATATTTCAGTTGTCTTCTTTATCTCTTCAATAACTACCCAAAAAGAAATAATTGCGGGGAGAGAGAAGAGGAAGGTAATAATCAGAACATCATTGATTCTTTAGAAATCTAATTTTTTAACTAAAGAGAAAAAATTAATGGACATTATAGAACAAAAAAGTTTAAGGAATACCCATTTGCATTCATGACCCATTTGATTGATGGGAAAATGCAGGAAATCAAAAGAATATGGAATCCCATTTGAAATATTTATTATTTGAACAATGATTTCAAAACCCAAAACAAATCTGCCACATAAAAACTTCCAGTGGAACCACTGTCAAGCTTAAAACCTTTTGGCAACCAAAATCCAACAATGAAACAAAGAACTCCAATGTCAAAACACACTTTCTTTCATTTTTCTCCCAGTTTCTCAGAAACCAAACACGCTTTAGAGAGAGAAAGAGAATACCTCAATGCTCTTAACAGCAGGCTTGTTCAAGCGGTTCAAGTGTTTTTGCACCTCAAACTTCTGCTTTTCCACACCTAATCTAGCGGCGCAGGTTAATGAAAGCAGACTCCATAAGGAAAAAACCACCGTCAATCCTCGGCTTCTGCTAAAATGCGCAACACCACAACCACCCATGTTCACTAAAATGCGCACCTACCAAGAACCGCAAAATAAGTTTGAAAGCAGCTCTTTACTAATCTTATCCTACGCACACTGTCGAGGTCAGAGCTTAGGCATTATGGCAGTATTACCATGTGCAGATACACACACACACACAAAGAGATAAAGAAAGAGAGAGAGGTGGCTTAAAAGGCTTAAGCTCTTCTCTTCTCTGCTTATCCTACGCACCCTTTGAGCTAAACTTTGAAGTGGGTCTGTTATGTTTCCTCAAAAAAATCCAAAGAAAACTCTGCCCACCACTCCTCACTGTTTCTCTCTCTGGAAAAAATGCCCACTTTCTCTGTCTAAAAGCTTACCTTTCTTCTACTAATTTTTTTTCTCTCTCTACTTTTTCATTAAAAACTGTCCCTTTCTCTGCTCTATAAACAATACCAAAACCAACTTTCTCACTCAGAAAATTAAATTCAAGAAAATCAATACTTCTTTTATTCATGTGATCCTCAAATCAAACTCCTTTTTATATAAGTCGGTTTAAAATTCTTACATAAATATTGTAGAAACTAATTAATTTTTTTAAATTATAATAATTTTAAAAGTAATTTGATCAAATTATTATTTATTAATTAATATTTATTATATCAAGTATAAAGAAAGACAATATTAAAAATATTATTTATTATTTTTTAAAATATATAAAATTACTTATATTTTATAAGAGAGAGCGTATATTTTAAAAATCCATTTAGATAACAATTTTAAAAGAAAAGAAAATACAGAGAAAAAATATAAAAGAATTTTGTTTCAGAGAAAAAATAATTTTATGAACAATAAAATAATGAATTTAATATTTACTTTTTTTTAATTTTTTTTTCTCCACTTATATTTATTTTTTCTTTTTATATTTTTTTTCTCGCATATTTTTCTTTGTTCCAACAAATGAAGAAAAGTTTTTTTTTTTACTTTTTTTCCTTCTCAATTTTCTTTTCTCTCATATTTTTCACCAATTCAAATATAGCATAAGTGAAATTCAAACTATGTTGAAAGGATTTCTTAAAGATCAATTTCCATCCTAGGAAAATATATATATATATATATATACCAACTAAAAATCAAACCCCGAAAAAAATAATTTCAAAATATTCTAATTTATCATTATGTACTAATTTTATTAAATGAATTTTTGTTAAAAATAAACCACTCCTTTGCTTATTAACAAAAAGAAAATAAAATGTTCACAAAAAAATTGCAATATAAACTTTTTAATTATTATTGTTACAATCGAAAGAAACTAAAAAATTTTAGAAATAATTAGTTATAATTTAAAATTTGACATTTAAAGCATTTTTTATTTTTAAAATATTTGTTTCTAAAAACCACTAATAATAATATTCTTCAGTATTCAATAATTTCATTTTATAAAAGTAAATATAAGAAACTAAACTACGAAGGAGATTTTAGTAATTGTAGTGGTGAAAAAGGATAGGAAAGAAAGTGGTACGTTGATTAGTGGCGAAATGGGTCAATTCATTAGCGTTATTACAGAGTTCACATGAGCTTACTTTGTCGTCTTCAGAGGGCAGCTCTTTGGACCCCACATGACAAATCCTATTGCTTTCTCCTTTTGCCCCTTATTCAAAATTTTGCATTATTTGTCCTTTTTTTTTTTCTTTCTTTTCACAACTACAATATTATTTTTATTTAACTATCCAAAATTCATTTACCCGATTAATTTAAGAAATTCAAATTAGCATAAAAAATAATCAGTTAGGAAGAAAAACAAATAACTTTCTTTTGAAAATTTTAAAAAATTATATATTCAATGCTCGAATTCAATATCTCTTATCAAAAGAAAAGAGAATTTTATTATTTCATTTCATCTTTCAAGATATAATAATAAAATATAATATAATAAAAAATATTTTTAATATTATATTAAAAAGGTGTTTAATTATATTTTATATCGCACTATGTTTAAGTAATTTTATTTATAATTTTTCTCAAAATAAATAAATAGCGGATTCTTTATCCAAATCGAAATCTAATGCCTTAAATGTGCTTGGAAAGTGATATAGGAATGTGCTACTCCTATTCCAAACATTATATATTTTTTTATTGCAAAATTATATAATATTAACATTAATATTTTTTTTTTTATTGCAAAATATATATATTATTATTTTTTTTCCAAATACTTGTGTGTATGTATATAAATGCCTGAACAGCTCTGTTTGTTTTCAAGGCAAAGAAAAAAAAAAAAAAAAAAAAAAATCTACATTATTGACGCTCTTATATCCCAGCTCTGGTCATTTTATTTTTTGTGACAAGCAATAGTTTCATGGTTTTTCTTTTAAAAAAGCAATATAAAATATTAAATAATCTTGCATTTATAAATAATAGTTTTAATTGACATTTAAAAAATAATTGTATTTAGTATAAATATTATCACCTAAATTAATGATCAAAATCTCACTATTCTTAAAATGTGATCCTAATTCAATTATACGATTAAATATTTCCTTAAAAATACTTTTTTTTTCATAAAGCGAAATAATATTATGATCAAATTATGATCAAAAGATAATCCTATAATCAGTTGATTAAATTGACGAAAACTTTTATAATCAGTGTAACTTGAATTCAAAATTTTCTACTTTACGTTATAAAATAAAACAACAAGTATAATACACCATGCATAATAAAACATAAAAAGCATGCAAATAAAAATCTTATGATATGAAAAATTATTCTAATGCCTTTCTAAATTCAGTGTAATTATACAATAATGAGAAAGAATTCATTTGAAGTATGAGTTTAGAGACAAAAAAAAAGCATGATGGCCCCTTAGTAATTAATAGCATGGTGGTTATTATTGTTAGAAAGCTTGAGTTTTAGGGGTGGTTGATCATTAAGTTGGTGATTTAATATTCTTTTGTTGATTGACTAAGTGGGGAAAAAACCCTTTTCTTTTTTTTTTTTTTCCATTCCTTTTTTGCATATAATTACACATATATTATCATCATTTCAAGGAATCCAATGACAAACCAATAGAATAAATAAATAAATAAATAAATTTTATTTTAAAATAATAATAATAATAATATATTTATATATAAATCTATTATATAAATCTACTTCAGTAAAATTAATTAGTAAGAATTTAGTAAAATTAATTATTTTAATAGCTGTTACTTTTTATAATAATTAATAGTTGTTTTGATTTTAATTTTTTATTAAATATTATTTTAATTTTAAAAATTAATTGAAATGTTATATTTTTAAATATTAAAAAGTAAGATTAAAATGCTAAAAAATTATTTAAAAAATTATTGTGCGGGTACAGTCATAATATAAAAAGATGGACACAGTGAATCACTGACAACTTGGCTTCTCATCCACGATCATGTTATAATGTTATTCTAGACAAAGATTCTTCTGTTCTTATCAGAATATTATTTTTTTAAATGAATATTTTAAAACAGGATAATTAGTGTTTAATTTGTATTATTAAGGAGGATAATGGCCAATAAAGTTAATTAAAACACATAAAAGGGTAACCCAACAGAAGTGGACAATGGTCAATTTCATATTTTATTTATTCAAACATGTGGAAAAGACACAATTTTCAAAATTAATAAAAAAAAAATAATGATATTGTCATAGTAGTCCTCATTTCTAGAGAAAGAATATTTTATAAACAAATTAAATGGAAAGAAATGCCATTGCCACTTGCTTATTATTTTAGTATTTGATAGAATCCAAATATTTTTAGAGATTTAAATGTAATTTATTTAAAAAATCTAAATAATTTTAAGGATCCAAAGTGATATTTTATAAATCATTTTCATATTAATTAGGAGGATGAAATATCTACTAGGTCTTTGAATTTTATAAATCATATTGTTACTACCAATCTTTAAATTTAAATTAAACTCTTCAACTTTGTAAATTTGATAAATTATTACTAATCAAATTGATAACTCAATACCAACTTTAAATAATTAAAAGAAAATCCAATTAACTCAATAGAATTTCAACAACCAAGTTGATGATTAGGTTCACATGTCAATTTGACATTTGCTCATACAATGAATATATATATATAAGTCATTCTTAACTTGGGGTATGATACTAAAATTTCAAATTTGGGATAAAGTTGACAAAAGAAAGTGTAGGATAAAATTAGAAATATGTAAAAAATTTAAGACTTAAGGTACATTTTGTTACCATTATTTGGCTTAACATTTTGATATAAAGTGTAATTTCTCTATCTAATCATGTGTGGTCTAATTGGTCATCTCACATCTTATAGAAGATATGGAGAAATGAATGTTTCAAATTCGAGTCCCTCATTATAGAAGTTATCATCAATTTGGTGAATGTTTCTGCATGTCTTTGGACCTGATATATATATATATTATTTAATTATGTTTTCTATTCCTAGACATGTACCATTAGGATTGAACGAGAATTATGATTAAAAATTAAAAAAAAAAAAAAGGTTGAAGAACTCCCAGAATTATTTATTAGAAAAAGAAAAAAATAAAGTACAAGTAACCTCACTATACAAGTAATCAAATTGCCTATATGCCAAACATGTGAAATTCAACTACTATATAATGATTAAATTTTTCTGTAATATAATGATTCAAAATTCCATAGTCTTTTTTTTTTTTTTTTTTGAAAAAAAATTGAAAAAAAGAAATTTTCATGTAGAAAAACATTTGCTTTTGAACAGGGAAGAAGTCAACTCCTTATCAAAAGGGATCACTATTGATAAAGCTTATATATATTTGAAGAAGAAGCTAATGCACTATTTACATGCAATTTTTTTTAAATCACAATAATAGATAATAATAATATAATAAATTACACGACTTTTTTTATTTCATTCACTTCAGATAATATAAGATTACCTTAATCAATTTATTGATCAATTAAGTAAATTAACAGATATATATATATTATATATATATATATATATATATATATATATATTGTTAGATGTAAATTTTAAAAAATTAGAAACTTGGGGATGCCTAGGTGCAATCCTAGCTCTGCAAGTATGTTAAAGTAAATTTTAAAAAATTAGAACTTGGGATGCTAGGATGCAATCCCTAGCTCTGCCCAAGATTCACATACGTAAATTATTAAGTTGTGTTGGGCAACAAAATTTTTAAAATAGAGTTAAAATGCTAATCGTTTTTTTTTAATAAAGTTTGATAATGATAGTGTTTGTATTTACTTTTAAAAATTAAATAAGTATTTTATAAAAAGTTAACTTTTATAACGTTTAGTTTTTATCGTTTTATGAAAAAATTATTCAAACAGTTACTAGCTACTCAAAAAACTAATAACTACGGAAATAATTAATTTTGCTCGATACACTTAATAATAGGAATTACATAAGCAATTAAA